CCTTCCTTCCTTCCTTCCTTCCTTCCTTCCTTCCTTCCTTCCTTCCTTCCTTCCTTCCTTCCTTCCTTCCTTCCTTCCAATTGTCAACATTTACCTTCATACATTTCAGAAGTTTTTCAGATGCGCTTTAATGGAGAATAGCAATAAAAAGAAAGCAAAACTTAACATTGAGTGACGCTGCGTATCCTGAGTTGAAACTGGTTGCATTTGCACATAACTATAAACCAGGATTTTGCATAAGCCTGGTTTTCCATTAAGAAATCGTTTGCTGGCCCAGCCAGATGTTTTGCTCTTTTCAGTTCACATATGAAATCCAAACCCATTCCTGGCATGGTGCAGGATTACGAGTTGTGATTTCGTGTTGCCTCTGATTTGGACATCATGTTCAATCGATCCGCTTGAGTAGGCGTGTGTTAAGATTTTGACTGAACAGGTTCACAGCATGTGTTCCAGACACAGTGGAGAAATAAATCCCAGGTTTTCATTCCAATCCTGTTCTATTCCTATTTGGCAAGGTTTAGCTCTTATCTGAATAGGAACATTTTTAACTTTTTAAAAACGAAGCTACGTACATTAATCAGCTTACTAATGCCACTCACCTCCTTTCCTGTCTTTTTTTTATAACGCCCCACCCTCAAAACATAACCAATAGATAGATCCTCATAAATAACCCCTCAGAGATCTGAGAAACTAGACCACAAAAACATATCACAGAATCGCCAAGTTGGGAGGGACCCCACAGGTCATCTAGTCACAATGAACACTATTGGTCTCTAAGGAAACAGGACGCACTGTTATTTTAGCTGCAACTGATAAATAAGGGAATTTCTGTAGAAATTTCCCGAGAAAAACAGGACTGGTCCAACATGTCTGCTGACCAAGGAGTTTAAGTAATTCTCCAGTCCCATTAACCCCTTTTGGTTGACAGTGTGGCATCTGGAGAGCCCTGTTCTCCACATCAGTGACTGATGGTTGGGGTTGACTCATGCTAGTTCAGAAGAACCTTTCCTTCAGCTTCCAAAAGGCAACTGGGTTGCAGTGAGGCAGCTGTTTTTCCACAGCGAATCTCAATGCCCCGATGCCCCACGCAAAACGGGTGGGCGTGAGACGAAGCTCCAAGGGCCGGCAGAGTTTAGAGCCATCCAGGCAGAAGCGAGACATACATACAGCAGAACCAGCAACGGAAACCCCGTATCTTGCAGGGCTGCCCAACAGATTTGGGAATAAAGCTGGTTCCTCCTTTGTTCCTATGAAAGATTGAACTCAGCAGGAACATCTGCAGAAGGAGCCACAAAAGTCGAGATGGAATGCCCCCTTTTTAACGTATCTTGAGCGTGCAACGCATGTTAAAAATATGGCAGGGATTCCACGGCACGGTTCTGGCCGCCACCTTGACTTTTTTGACCCCCGGGGGGCTGATGCCCCTTTAACTCAGAGTCTTGTTTGTCTGGCCTCGCCAGTGGGGAAGCTCTGGTTTGCGCCGGCCCCGTGAATGCACTGTGGGCTGAACTTCCTTTTTCCCTCTAATGACTGAAATCAGGACATTCTGAGAAAACTCTGCTCGGAGTGGGATGAGTGCGGGTGGAAGAGGCGCTGAGAGTCACAGTGCAGAAAAGCTTTTCAGAGAAAATGCCCAGCTCTTGCAGAAGTGCCGAGCCTGGGATTCCCCCAAAACCATCCCCCCGCAAACGCAGCTGACTTGGAATCTGGGCTGTGGCATCAGAGGACAGAGCTTTCTCCCAGGGAGAGTGGATTGGGATCTCACGGCAGGGACTACCCCCTTCTTTACTCATCTGGTGCATGCAACGCGTGTAACAATATGGCGGGGATTCAACGGCAAGGTCCTGCCCACCATCTTGACTTTTTTGACCTTCCTGCCAACCGGAGGCATTTCCTGCCAGTGACTTTTTAAAAATGGCATGGAGAGCGGGAAGAGACGTGCCTGCCTTAGCTTGTTTGCAGGCAGTAACGGGGGACGTGTCCTCCTTTTAGTCCTGATGATTTCCATCCGGCAGGCACAGCCTTAAAACCAAATATTCTCCCGCTTTTTGTGTACCTCTTCCTGAGCAGCTTTTCTGGGCAGGGCTGTCTGAATGCAAGTTAACAAGCTCAGCTCTGTGACCTCAATTAGTGGATGAATACCTTCCCGCTTGGCTGCTGCCTGAAACTGACAAGATCTTAATCAGTTTCAGCTGAAGGTTTTTGCCTCCTAACCTTCCTGCCTCAGTGTTTCTGATGCTGGAAAACTAATGTATATCCACGTAGGCCTAAATACCTTTTTTGGTTCTTGCTGCAGTTTTTCATTGTAATGTTTGTCGCGGATGCCAAGAAAGCTCAACAGTTTGTGCATCCTCCTCCCCCCCTTGTCCTCCTTTCCAGTTGTTGGTGTCCTCCTTTGTTCAGACCTCTGGTCAACCCAGCTATAACAGACCCTGGTTGCTGGAGAAGTTTAACTTCTTGGCTGACACTGCTGTGATGTTCTCTCTCCCCTTCACATCTGACATTTGTTTCTGGGTAACCAGAAACTTTTTTGTTTTGACGGAGCAGGCGGGCTTTAAGACTGCAGGAAGTGAATTGCAAAAGATGCAGGTGCTGGGAAAAATTGCGTTTAAAGAAGCTTTGATGGGGATTTAAAAAAAAAAAGCCTCTTCTCTTAATCTTGCTCACATACAGTAGAGGTTGCATTCATCAATCTTAGATTTAGGAGAGAGAATGAATAGAAATGCTTGGGTCTGTTTGTGTTTTTTTTAAACATCCGGATAACGTTCTTCGTTTACGAGTTTCACGGCCAGAAGAGATTGTAAGAGGAGAGCTGGGCTAGTTTATGGTGGTCAAACATCGGGAGCCTGGTTTTCCAAGTAACCCGTTTTATTTGAAGGCGGAAGCTTTTGTGAATTGCGGCTCGCTTTACCACATGCAGGCATCTGCAGTTTGTGAAAGTTTCAATAAAGTTTGTTGTCTGAAAGGGGGGCACCAAGCAGTGGCTTGTGAAAGCTTGCACGGTTTAATAAAATTTGTTAGCCCGAGAGGGCACGACCAGGGGCCGGTTTTTGGCAGTCAGAAGAAGAGTGAATGGGCCACGGTTTATGCCTTTGATAGATTCACAGAAAAAGAGGAGGCAAGATCTATTAATCTAGCCTAGTGCTGAAGTAGAGCTGCTAGTTTCAGAGGCAGTCTACCTCTGAATAACTCTTGTCTTCCTGCCATGTCTTGTTGAAGGGCTTCCTGGAAGTCACTGAGCAGTAAAATCATGAACTCCTGACTGACCTTGAGAGTCACAACCACAAGGTTGTCTTGGGTTGTTACGCTCCAGACTCTGAAACTGAGAAACCAGTTTCTCTTTTGCATTTGTTCTGAAATGAATTTATGCTTCAGCTTCCTTGGTCCCAGGTCATTCATCTCTGCAGGACAGCCAGGGAATCTAATGCTGGCTAATCCAGTGCTCATGGTAGGTCAAAAAAGTCAAGATGTCCAACAGACCTGAAACCAGGCCGAGCTGGATCACACCCTTGCAACTGCCATCTTGACTTTTTTGACCCTATCCTGCAGTCACCCCTGTGGTAGGGGACACATCGCCACCCCTGAATTTTTATAAGCCCAATGGGTCTCTGATGCGTAATCTACCCCACCCCCCTGAAACCCAGAGCATTAGCGCCTCCCTTGAATGTCTAGCTGGGAAGTTAGTTTAGTGAAAATATTTCTCGTACTTCTACCAAGTATATTGTTTTTCCTTCCTTGTAGCCTTTAAAAAAAAAAAAAAGACACCTTTTGAAGTTCCCAGCGTAGCTCAAACATTAATTCATTAGGCACGTGGTGAGAAAAAGAAATTTCTTTTGGAGATCCCAAAATTAGCATCATTGGAGATCATGTGAGTTATTAATGAACCCTAATATAGTAAAAAAAAAAAAAAAGATTTGGGGGTTGTGTGTGTCTGTGTGTGTCTGTGTGTGTGTTTCTTTTTCTTGTTATCTAATTTTTATTTTCAAAGAAAGCCAAATTTCATGTCATCTTGCCTGACAGGCAACTGATAGGTTGGACTACCCTCCCCATAATCCCTAGCCAATTCTCCACTGCATCTCTGGGGCTGAGATGGCAGCTTTTAAGGTCCCCTGATCATTAAGGAGAAGAACTTGAATAGTGCTAAAGGGAAATGAAAGATACTTTCATTTTTCTTTTTTCTTTTGGAGTTGAACTTTTACGCTGGCCCAGAGTGCAACCCGGGAATGGCGGTAAAGGGTTTTGGAGTCTTTATTATGCCCCCAGGACTGTCTGCTTCATTTGAATGGCACTACCATATGAGAAATTAAAGCAAGCCTTTCTTCTTGTCCGTCGCCCAGAGTGTGGTGTCTCCGTAGCGAAAAGTCGCATGCTTTCCTGTTTCAAAACAATCTGCGGCTAGTTTCAGGTAGCGGGGCTGCGTGGCCCAAGGAGGAGGCATGTCATGACAGGCAAAATGTTGGAAATTCCCACTGGAAGTCCCCCAAAACTCAGTGAGAGCCCACTTGTGGGAATTAATTATCAGGGGACCTTAAACACGGCCGTGAGTGGAATTCACACCCGGCTCTGATTGGCAGTGGTGAAAGTGCTGCATAATTGACATTTTCATTATTTACTCATTCTCTCCTCACATGGCTTTGTGAAAGTTACAAGGGTTTTTTCTCCTCTCCGGTGCTGAAATTAAGACTCATTAGAGGCCCTGCCAGAGGGGGCTTTGGGGATGATCCTGGAATTGCATCGGGCTTCTGGGGAACAGCTGAGTAAAGTTACTTCCAGCTCAGGTTTGGCTCTGGAGGAATGATAGAACTTAAGTTCTGGAAGGACGTGACCATGTTGGAGGTCCATGGATCATGGAGATGCAGCGGGAAGGCTTGCCCCCTGGCATGGACAGTGTGTGTGTTGTGTGTGTGTACGTACATGCACATTCCTGGCTGGATGGCAATGTTTGCACTCATTGGGAGCTTTCAGCAGCCATGCTTCTGATAACCGTGGGCCATCAGGACATGGGGAAGTGACAGTGGGACATCTAAATCCATGTTTCTCAAACTTGGCTGCTTTAAGATGTGTGGACTTCAACTCCCAGAATTCTCCAGCCAGCAACTCCCA